ATTTTTAACCCGTGGCTTTATTTTTTTTTTTTGTCTTGTGTCTTGCTCGGGGACACTTTGACATGGGACATTAATTCAGAGCATGGGCTCCTCCGTCTGCAGGGTCTCCAACCGGACTGCATCACACCGTTGGCTCATGCAATGCTCCTCAGCCTCCAAAAAATGAACAATAATCTCACGTACAGCGTTCGTGAAAAAGATTGGAGAAAATGATGAAATTGTGCAGTTTAGCTGATATTTTCGATGATGCACTATTCGTTCCCCCCGAGGAAGAAGCTGCACCTCAGATGTTGTCTGGATAGAGCGGCCCAGATGAAAACAAATAAAACAGAAAATGTAGCTACATCTTTAAAAAGGATCCACTGGGTATTTGTTTTTTCTATCATTCCCAAGTTAACATTGCAGTAATGGAGATGACGAAAACCAATTTTGTCTTATTTCTGGCTTCAGGAGACTTATATCGACTGTTACCTCATACAAATGGAGGTGGTGTGTGCAAGAGGAAAAAAAGAGGATAATGAAAGTATTTCCCTTTGCTGCCGAACAGCAAATCACATAATGGAATAGTTTACCTCGGGAAATATGCCTCTACTTTCCATAACACAAGCTTGATATTCCATCTAAAGAGGCAAAATATATGTATGTGTGTGTGTGTCATATTTGTCCTCTACGCCTCCTGGAGGTTTGTGTCCTTTCTTAAAAGACACCGCGTGTTGAAGTTCTTTGGCCACGAATTTAATTCAGCTTTTTTTTTTGTAAACTGTGTGTATAAAGAACTAAAATGAGGACTTATCGCTTTGCATGTTTTAAGACAACTACTTAAACGTACTGTATATGTGAAGAGAAGAAGGGACTTATGGAAATCGTCCATACTTTCTGTCACCGCCTCCTTCTTTTCGGATCCCCCCCCCCCCAGAGGGATCAACTGTTCAAAAAGCACGAGCGACTGCTCCTGAAGTGCAGAAAAAAAATGTTTATGCACTAAATCCTTTTTTGTCTTCCGTCTTCCTCCGTAATGCTGCTCAATTTGCTTAAACTTTTTCTCTGGGAAATTGGATGATTTCCATTTTGCTCTCGAGTGAGGAGCTTCGGAACATGTTTTAATCTCCTCGGGATCCCCCGTGTAACCCAGCGCATGTGCCATGTTGACGGGGGCATTTCTCCGATGAAATGAATGGACTCTACCTGAGAATGGAAAACCATTATTCATGCGTGTTCTTATTTATTGCCACTAAAGCCCATCCGGCGGGCTTTCAGGGCCTTCAGATTTACCCCCCCTGGTCCATGACAGACAAAAGGATGTATAGGAGTCTAAACTATTTCACATGGCTCTGTATGTGCGGCCCGTCATGTGACTTGGACCCAACGGTGGTCAGGAGGGACGCGTGGGCTCCTTATTCGCCATTCGCCACTGACGGGAACAACAAACCGAGCCACCATATGTCCCCTGAAGGGCCCCCTTAGTAGATGGTCGAAAGGCGGCGGGGAGGGGGGGCAGTTTTGTCCTCGAAAGGCTCGGGGGGGGGCTCTGAGGGAAAAGAGATAGATGAAAAGAGAGAGAATCCCACCAGGGACACAAACCACAGCTCGGGGCGCACATCGCTCACGTGCCCTGACGGAGAACGAAACCGCCGACGCCGCCTGATTTGCGCCTAATAAAGTTGTCACATCTTATCAGGACTCACATCTACTCCGGGAAAGCACAAGCCCCCCAGTTAGGGCCAGTCAGGGGCGATCAGGGGCAGCCGCTATGGGCCTCCGAGTGATGGACGATGGGCCGGAGCGCTGCCTGATGGATGTGAGGGGAGGTGAAACTGTGGGATGGGCGGCGTGGGGGAGGGGGGGTAATGGACAGCCGCGGGCGTTTCTGCAACAATGACCCCGGTCTCTTGGTTGCAATGTCATCGGGAGTGAACTCACAAAGATACGTCCACTCGCGTGTCGCGGGGTTGGCGGCAGCGGGCTTGAACACAGGTCCTGTCCTCCGCCGCCCGCCCACGCTCCCCATCATGGTCGGCTGGGTCTACTAAGGCCTGACCTCTAGAGGGAGGCAGCGCGTGGAGTCGGAGGGAGCCCCGTAGAGGTGAACACAGAGGAGTCAACCAAACGGGTGCTTCAAGGTTCAAGGGTCGCCGATAACATCACTTAATCACAGCTCGTGTGTTTTCTAAGGCAGCCTCTTTCAGAGAATCTGTGTATGTGTGTGTTTGTATTGACGAACTTCAATGTGCAGAGGTCTCTACGAGTGTTAAATGAAATTAACCTCCAGAAGTTGTGCTATGCTACTTTCTAGCATGACTGCCCAGTAATATTCCTTTATCTCAGCATTGCAGACATCAACAGAGGCGTAATTTCTCTTGAGATTAAGCAACAGAGTTTATGGGTTTATTGGATGGGAAATTATTAACAAGTGATGTTTCCTTTGCCCTCAAAACAAAACAGGCTCCCGTTGTTATTACGTTTCCATTATTTATTCCTGCCGTATAGATTAAAGTCGAGGTTCAATCCCTTTTACTAAAAGTTTTCAAATTGTGAAGTCGGAAAAACCAGATGATGCTCGACCCCGCTGACGTTATACGTTCCCGGGTGCCACATTTTAAGGAACCAAATTTGGTTCTCGTGTAATATCTGAGAACAACAGAGCAGCTGTGATCGAGAGGTCGGAGCTTTAAATCCATCACAGGTTGAGCGTCACGGAAATTGATCTCATCCCGAACTTTGCAATGGCGCTTTGCCTGCATCGCAGATCCTGGCAACAAGAGAAATACAGAGCAAACAGAAACCACTAAAGTTGTGTTGGAGAAATGCCAAAACCATATTAACACAAGCGCACGTATATGACTGTCAAAGTGGGAGTTAATAAAGCTGTTATTCATTCATTCATTCCTCTGCACTTTTTTACATTCTGAGATTCTTCATCTAGTTTCCGGCACACTGAACACATTCTGCCAAACGGCATGAACTTTATTTATGGTGGGGGAGGTTCAGCGTCTCACTCAAGTGCACTTTAACAGGGAGTCGGGGATCGAACTACCAGAAAGCCAATTTCATTTTAGTAAGGTTATTCGTTTCCAAAGCCAGAAAGCCGAGAGGTCTTTAGTTCCAAAAACAGAAGTCTTTAATTTCCAAAAACAAACAAAAAGGTGAACTCGTTGCGTATAAAGTTTGGCGGATGGAAATATTTTATTCATTTTTTCATACCAAAGTAGCTTTTATTCTATTGTGGCATTGGCAGTTTAAACAAAAAAATGGATATGCAGTCCTCGGGTGTCTGCAGCAGTCACGGCACGCCTCCCTAATCACATTCTCGTTTAGCCGTGACCAAGACAAGGACGCGTACAACTGAGATGGATGGATTAAACAAATGTCGTATGGATTAGCCTTCAGTACAGTAATCGACTCGGTGAGGACGGTCTCGAGAACTGCTGCAGAGGGGGGGAATGAGCAGATTAGACGTATGATTAGTTCATTTTTGCAAACTTGGGAAATACTCTTAACTCTTCTAAGTATCGCTTCGATAATTTCATTCACAAAATGCATATGTTTTTTGTGATGATTATGTCATTTGGTGTTTCTTGAAATTAAATTCCGTGGAAGTCCATTTGTGCATTGAGTATCACCATGAATACCGGGGAGGAGCGAGAGTGTTTTAGTCGAGGTACGTCTGGACATTTTAATGTGTCCATTAAAAAGTCCAGGAATTGCACAATGCCGTTCTGCTGCCTGAGCACTTCTAAGACTGAAAAATGAAGCTGTCATTCTGTCATGACGGTGAATGTAATTGCTTTAACATTTCTGTCGAGTGGAAAGCTTTCTCCCTGGTATCCATACATAGAAATAAAACATTGCGCTGTTCACTCATATTCCATTAGTTTACTTCTGCTCACGGTAGCATATGTTTTTTTTTGACTGCCAAAGTGTATTCAAAAGTTAAATATCAATCATTGAGCACATCTAAGAAACATTAGCATGCGCACATCATTGCCGCAAGGCCGGGTGGGCAGAAATGGATCTAAGCCACATGTTAACTTATGATTATCCATTCTGGGACTTATTTTCGTCATATATGTAACATCAGCATAACAAGCAGGAGAAACCTGCAGGAACTGTCAGTGTCCGTTTTACCATTTGTGTGCAATCTGCAACATGCACTCAAAGATTATTACTATCACGTAAAGAGTTTTAATACCATGCTGCAGCTGTTCAGTGTGTCATATGTGTTTAGTGTGTGTGCGTGTGTGTGAGAAGGAGAGGTGACTTGGAGCAGGAGGTTGTAAAGAGGAGGTACAGGAGTAGGATGGGAGGCCAGGTGAAATGGGACATTTTCACAAGGAGGCTGAAGAGAGTTTGTGCATGATCATGTCACATAAACATGTTTATTGACAGATAATGGATCTGTGACGGGAGGCCAGAGAGCAGGTCCAGCTTCGATAGCAGAAGACACGTGGTGTCTTGGTCAAGCATGTAGCGGGTTGGACTGTTATGATAACGAGGATACTTACAATGATTGCGATGTTTTCGTCTTTTTAGGGATATTTTTTGTTTTCAGATCGGTTGAAAATTGTTTCTAATTTTTTAAGGTAACCTTTTCCAACTTTGGTTTAGTGGTATTAAATGTAAATTTGTATTTAGAATGAACAAAATTTGCATTTGTCTTTTCGAAACCACATGAACTCTTGCATCACTCCTCACCACTTAAGAAATATTTGTGCCGACAGAATGTGTATACAATTTTACCATTTTTGTTTTGAATTTGATGGTATTCATTTATTTCTCATGATACATTTACCCGGGTTTGGTTGAATTAAGTCTCAACTGTGGCTTGTTATGCCCCTGAACATTAAACATTGTAGTCCAAAAACAACAACATAAAATGTATCCGTTTCAGTTTTTAATTGAGATCATTTTGATTTTAAAATAATGCAGTGTTCATCCTTTGAACTGTAGTACCTGCTGAGACTGTGCAGTGTGACGTGGGGATTACGTCACTTCCGGGTAACCGCAGCGGAAACACTTCTGGCATGCAGAAAGGCGGATCCTTCTCGGCGGCTTTTGCCTTTCAGAACTTCTTTTGAGCCTATTTTTTACCTGCCAGTCCTCGGCGGGGCGCACAATACCCAACACAAATCGCTTTTTTAGGTGTTGAAAACGACGTTTTTATTCAGTCGAGTGCTACGATAGTCCTCAACGCAACCCCAGGAAGAGTTTTCTTTTTCAGCCGAGGCTAGCTAACTTTCAACGCACTAGCATTTAACTTGACAACTGCCTGCAACAGGGAAAGAGCAAACCCAGGAAGATGGGAGATTTGATGTGGGCATTGAAGACCGGGGACATGGATGAGGTGGAAGCCAAATTGGTGACGGTAAGACAACTGGGATTTGACCCTCTATCGTATTTTTTTCCCAGTGAGTCGTTGCAACGATTTTTAAACAGTTGGTGAGCTACGGTGAGTTAGCAGACTGGTTAGCTAGCTTGCTAACAGGCTAAAGTTAGCTGTAGTTGGGTAATGTCAGGTCGGGTAAGCTAACCCATAACATCCATTAGGTATCAGTAGAAAGAATCGTAAACTAAGCTCGTATTCGTTTCAAAGCTTTCAAGGTTGTTGTGGCACGTTAGCGCTAGACCAAGTCTCCATGTCTCGTTAGCATAGTTAGCAACACGGCGCTAACTTACTCTTGGCTTGATGATGTCGGTGTTTCGCTAATAATCTCGACTCTAGCCGTATAATGTGGTTCATAAACATCTTACTTAGTGGCTTTGGGTGTTTTAGTTTGCCGAGAAAACCCCCATCGTTGCCACTTTTCCGCAGAAGGCAACCTGTTGGTAAGCACACCAACAACATCAGCCGGTACGCGGTGGTTGCACATTGTCGCTGCGCCGCTAACACCGAATGCTACCGGTGCTTCTCGCTGTAAGCGCAGCTGCCTCGGCGACAACAGCTGTTCACAGCGCGTGTGTTATGGGACAATGCGTGTTATTGTCGGCGGACAGGTGTTTGGAGGCCGGAGCTATTTGCTAAGCTAACGTTGGTGGGCGGGGCGTGTCTGCTTTCCACGTGACATTAGCCGAGGAGCCTCCACACCGGCCAGCAGAAGTCGATGGAGAAGTCACTGCCTACAAGTGTCTGTTGGGCCACACCGATTGCACTACAAAGTGTCTTCTGCTTTTGTTCAAAAGATTAAAAAGCAACTTCTGGTCATTGTGGAACCTTGATTTAAAGTTGGCATGTAGTTTAAATAAACAGTTGTTCAGTTTCACTCTCGGGTAAGATGGCTACACTTAAATGCTTGATACATTATTGAAAGATGCTATATAATGTCGTTTTTTCATATCGATGTATATGTTGAATCACCAGAATTCTCACTAGACTGTTGTGTTCCTACACTTCTGTTATCGAGCTACGATATCACATACCGTTATATCGGGAATACAGATGTCGCTCAGCCCTAACTACTGTCGATGAAGGAATAAACCAAAGATGTGCCCATCTGCAAATGTTACAATGAGATACACATGAAGCATCTACTCAAACAGATGGTCATTTTGTCATTAAAGCTGTCGAGTAGCCTGTTTGATGGCCAAAATCTCTTGTTGTTTAAACACTTCACGCTCTGTAAACCATGGTCACTTGCAAAGGATTCTGTCATTAATCCTATGAATTTGGATATACTTCCTTTTAAAGAGAACTAAACTTAGTTGTAGACAAAGTGCAGTTTTTGAGAAGGTGTCCCTGCCGGGCCACCCGGCACCACCTAAGCTGGTTGTGTGGTGACTCTTTTTGGTCCGAGGCTGACAAGGAAGCCTAACAGCATCTCAGCAGGGGAAGTGAGGGGCAGAGGATCCGGCCATGTAATTGTTTTTCTCTGAATTTCAGTGGGAGCTTCCATCAACAGTGAGGCGAATGGGGTCCTCAGATCCGCTCTCTGTGTTTATCGTCGGCTTCTGCCAGCACCGAGTTTATTTATTTCCGCCTTGTTAATGTGTTGTCTTTCTCTTTCAGGCCGAAGATGTAAACCGGACCCTGGAAGGCGGGAGGAAGCCTCTGCACTACGCTGCAGACTTTGGTCAGACCGATGTGGTGAAGTACCTCATTTCTAAGGGAGCCGATGTGAATGTAAGAGCCGCAAAAACAACCAACTACCATCACATTAGCATGTCCACAATTGCAATTCACACAGAAACCGTTTTGGATGTCTGCTTCCCTCGATAGTTGAGTTCAAACAAACTGCTAATTCTCCTGCCATATCCAGCAGTTTAAAAATAGAAGTCTGTTAAAACCAGTTCCTCATCCGCCATTGTCCATTCTCCCGTTCAACAATTGTCTGGCCTCTACCGACCTCACACTAAGCTGTGGTCATCTTCTCTGGTTTTGTTGTTGTAGTAGTAGATTGATACGGACTCCACTTACCCATCCAACTGTACATATGTAATTTGGACGGACCTCTTTTGTAATTTGCAGCTTTTTCCCAAAAATCTCATATGCCTGTTCAGTAACCAGTTGGATTGTATGTGGAAGCGGCTTGAAACTAGTAAACGTCAAGTTTAGCGATGTGTGTGTAACTGTACAAAGCCTAGATGATGGTCTTTTTTTTATTTTTGATCAGCACTGAAGACTTTCAAGTCTGTGCTTCGAGCTTCAGGAAGCACCCACATTAGCTCGGTGCATTTCACTCCTTTTTTTTAAGATTGGATTAAACCGCTCGACACCAAAGCATCCACTGGTCCGCTTTAGACAGACACAAGGATTTCATGCTGCACCAACAAAGTACGTTTAAGTATTTCTTTCAATAACCTGCTCAGCCTCTGAGACATTTGAGATCAATATAGCGGTTCAGTGGCGCGAGCTTTTTCTTTTCAAGTAAAACCTCTTTCTCACAGGAGCAAGTTAAATTTGATAAAAAAATATAGATGTGTTTGAGGTTGTGGGCTTGTGCTTATGCTTTTCTCAAAGAAACCATTTCTCTCCACAGGCTCCAGACAAACACGGCCTCACTCCACTGATCTCGGCCTGTTTTGAGGGTCACACCTCCTGCGTCAAGGTCCTGCTAGAAAAGGTTGGTGCTTTTATCTTTAATCGTGCATCCGCACACACAAGTCACACCGGCTTCCCGCCGACCTCGGCGCCTGTTGATGTGTCCGAGGGCCTGAGTGCTGATGAGTGAACTCGTTGGACAAAAGGCCCTTTAGCGGAGTTGTGTGGCGGCTGTGCTGGAATGCTCATAGAGCATGACACCGCGTTGATGCTTTCCAAAGGTTCGCGGCGCTTTGGCGCGTCTCAATTTCTGCCTCGTCCTTCAAACCTCCGCTCGGCCTCGGTTGTTGATCTCGGGGACTATTTATAATGCTACCGCCAGTCAGAAGGATGTGGGCAGTGTGCTCACAGGTGTCACATCTGTGAGGAGAGGGAGACTCTACAGCTGTCGGAAAGCCTCTTTTAATACGTCTTCTACATACAATGTTTGACTCCGAAGTACCTGCTCGGCATTCATATACAAAATAATGACAGATCTTGCACTCGTCTAGGCTCAATGAGGTCCACACACAACAGCTGCTTGTGTATCGAGGCCTCCTTCAGTTCTTTGTCATTAAACACTCGACTCTGACAACTTCCTCATTTCATGTCGTTCCTTTTTTATTTGTAGCGTGGCCCAAATTTAGCCGTGGACATCAAAGAGCGTTTTAAGGAGTGACATATTTGAGGTTTCATATCAGGTCACAAAAACCGGATGGTGTGTTTAAGTCTGTTGCTTGGAACTGAAGTTACTGTCACCAGTTCAGCACCACTTTGAGAGAGTGGAGTCTGAGGGGGGGGGCAGCTGTCTGTCCCCGGCCGCCTGCACACAGTGGGTTCACGGTGGCGTCCTCTTGGCCCGACACAAAGGTAGAGGCGCTCAGGAGCTACGTCACATTACCGATTTGGGGAAGTCTGTGTTTTTTTTTGTTTGTTTTTTTGCGCTCCAACAAAGTCTGATACGCAACATTCTGGCAGATGATTCAATCCGCTCTCCGTTTGAAGCACTTAGAGCAAGCATTCGGAAAAGGGGAACACAGCCGACACCAAGAGGAAGAAAATATCGGTTTACTGCTCGGTAAGTTCTTCTCCTTTCGGTGGCACGCGCGGGTACGTTGCTCACACATGGAACCCTACTTGACCCCTGCGGCCGGTAAGCTGCTGTAACTTGTCACCGTGACAGCAAAGCGTGTGAATTCATTTTTAGAAACAAAGGCCTTTGTCTGTAGCGTCACGCGTTGCAGATGGGCAGCTGCAGCCCGTCTGAACAGGGAGGTTTGCTCCTCTCGAGGCCTCGTGCTCGTCTCCGCGAAGCACCGACAAGGATTCACGCCCCAGAGGTCATAGGTCAATACATACTAACCCTGGTGATTTTAAAAGCTCGCCATGTGTCTCAACACAAGCATGGAATAGATAGCGCCCCCCCCCCCCCCCCCCCCCCCCCCCACACGTTGACTGTGCTGCTGCATATCGACTCCGTCTGACAGCCCTTTTAGCACAACAGCCACTGTTTTGCAAGCAGATAAAAGGGAAAACCCACCGAGGACTCTGAATTGTGGCTATTCAACTGTCAGACAGTAAGTTTTCTGACAAAACAGTTTGTTTTCCTGGTGCATCATGGGAGCTCACCTCCCCCCTGACTGCGTGCTGTGCTGTTGTTGACAATGAGTTATGAAAGGCCATTTTAACCCCAATAGGTGACCTGGGACCAGAGTGCTGACTGCAGCCCGCCGAGGCCGGACAGTTCTTTTTCAGTTCACAATGAAAGGGCACGCACAAATGAACACACACACACACACACTGTTTTTTCAATGAGGAACTCTGTACGTGACCCATGACTGAGGAGGAAATGGCGTATTATTTAGTATTTTGAAAGTCACGGCAACAATAAGACTGCTGTTCTATTGTTGCCGTGACTTTTAAAGCTGAACCTAATAAAGCCTCCTTTTTTTATTGTGCCCTCAATAAAAAGAATAGTTGGCCACTTTTCCTCACAGCAGTCTGTCTATAAGTAATCATCTGAAAGTAAAGTAGGCATCATCCCCGATGGGCTCTGGTCACGTATGTAACCCAATTGTTCTTTTTCCAACAAAAGTGCCCCAAGCAGGTTTATCAAACGTCAGCTTTTCCAGACGTGATTGTGAGCTGAGTCTTATTTGCATTATTGATCAGACAAAAGACGCTCGATGAAGTCAGCCCCCCCCCCCACCACCCCATGGCTTTTTCCACACTCAAGCATTTAATTGAAAGAGAAAAAAAAGAAGCTTAATCTGCAGCTCTGAATCTTCCCATAATCGACCATGTGAGCTCCTATTGACCTTTTTAAAATCTGAACATGATTTGATGCAGCCGTCTCGCCCACCTCGAATACGTGCATTCATTTCAACCTGCGCACGCGGCTCAATACAGATATCACCCTCCCGTCTCGCTTATTTTTCTCCGGCTCCACGAATTGTGCCCTCCTACAGACCGGTAGTGTCAGCGGGTCAAAGGTTGGGTGTCAGCTTTGCATTTAAAGTGAGTTTTAAAGCAACGCTTCTGGCTGATTCCGTTCACCGATGACAACCCAACGGTTGCCTCGGCAGGTGCGTGGCTTCGCGCTACCAACCCGGCTCAATAATCCATCCGACGGGGAGACGCACCGGGAGGCCGCTCTTCATCGCCAGGCCGCGCGGCACTTTCCGCTGGCTTCTGCTCGACTGGAGCTCGTTATTCCAGTTGGCGAAGGCTCGTTGACGGCGTCACAAGTGTGCCGCCGTGCTGGATGTGTGTGGGGGATGGCAGGCATAAACACGGCCGTGTTGTGATACAACAATGTTGCATGTGTTGCAGTTTCCACTCGCTCTCTTTTAAAGCCGTCCTTAGCCGGCGTGTTTTGAGGAACTCGGCCAAATGGATTTATGGAAAACTCCAGTCTGTCTTTCGTCTCCTTCTCAATTAGGGTTGCAAATGTGACGGTTTGCCTGCTCCGCCCCGGTGAATCCCCCCCCCAAAACCGCCTGCTCGGGATGCGGCGAGGAATCTGCACCCAGACAACCGTCGCCGCTCGAGGCGGCTCGCATTTGTATTTTTTTTTTTGATGCCCTGCTTCTCCACGCAACAACAGACTCCCTCCGCCGGGGCTCAGTAAGCCGCTTCGCCGGGAGGCGGAAGTTGGCAGGCCGAACAAAGGCTCGTCTCTCCACCGCGTGGCCCCTGCACTCCTCCGCCGCCCGTTAAACCGCTCGTCGCTGCACGTGCATTCAATGCGCCGCCTGTCTCTTACGCTCACGTTTTTGTTTTTTTTTGTGTGTGTGTGTGCTCTTGTAATCTGGAAGATTATGTCCGCTCACCGCTCCTTTACATTCACTTAAGAGCTTAACTGAATCTTTCCGCGTCTTTAGCTTTTTTTTCCGTGTTTTTTTTTTTTTTTTTCCACCATTGTTTGGTCGCTGTTTGAAATCAAGGCGCTCGGCTGTCGGCAAGAGAATTCCACTAAGAATTATCAACGCCACCCTCCGCTGACGCCATATATTTGACCACTGGAATATATTCCCTTTACGACAATGACCTTCAGTGGGCGCCGAGGAGACGCATCAGGACCTCAAGAACCTCACCTGCATGGTGACCAGGTTCTGGACGTAGTGTCAGAGCCGTAGAGTCCTGATCACAAGAAGCTTCCCTCTGATTGTCCTGGGCGCTTTAACCAGCTACTTGGCATGTTTCATATTCCTGTCTCCTCCCCCCCCCCCCCACAGGGAGCTGACAAAGACCGGAAAGGACCGGACGGCATCAGTGCCTTTGAAGCTGCCGAGGACGATGCTATAAAGGCTCTGCTCAAGTGAGACGCCCTCCGGGTGGGAGGTGGCTGGACAGGTGGGTAAACGGACAGACAGATGGATGCAGTGGTCCCCTGACAGAAGACGGACCCGCCCCTTTTACCCCCCCGATCAGCGTCGGTCCCAACACTGCTTTTGTCTGTTTTGTTAGAGGGTCATTTGTCCGTCTGGTGGTTCTCCTTTACTTTGTTCATTTTCTCTCCTTCCCAACTTTTTTGGGGTCGGACTTTCTCTCCTTCTGGCCTGTTTGTGGCCATTTAACAACAGGACCTGTCAACTATGTCTCCCCTAAGGGACCAAACACCGGGGGAGCGCTCTCACATCTGGATCCTAACTCACTGCTCTGATTCACACTCTGTAATGTAAACGCAAAGCTAAGCACTTATACGCACACCTCTTTTGCAGGAAATCAAATGGTAATGGATCAATAGTGTGTTCACATGTTCTACAACTCCACAGTAAAGTATTGTATGGCCAGGACGTAATCTTGTGAAATAAACAGTCGTAGCACTGTACTATACTAGATCAGCTGAAAAGAAAGGTTGTAAAGTTTGATTATATTTCCCTTTCATTGTTTGTGGCCTCTTCTTCCACCTCGATTTCTTTTAATAGGCCAAACTGTTCTCCCCCCCAATCCAACCGTGACGGTTCTGTTGAGCGTTTCTACTCTGCATATCACTTACATATCAAAGTGTTTTTGACCAATCCTTGCGTTGGTAATGCATAAACTGTATTCTGTATTCCTTGACGAATCACCTTGCTGGTTAACTAGAAAGACTTGAACGTTGCAATTTTTCTGTCACTGATTTTTTTTTTTTTTTTTTTGAAGCAACTTTTAACAGCACAAAATAGAATAAGGAATTCTAGAAACACGTTGATTTTGTCATCCCTGGAGTGATATTTCAGAGCGATAATTCCTGTCTTTGTTGCAGCTTCCCTGTTTTGTAATTGATGGGCTCTGGGGGCTCCGCGTGATGAGTAAATGGGGGTTAAAGTTGGAACTGGATGGGGGGCGGGGGGGGGCTGTCAGCATCCCCCTTGCCTTGGATTTGGTTCGAAGCCCCGCCTGTTTTGCTGCATGTCAAAACTGCCTCTGCTTTTCTGCTACGAAACGGTCGCCGGTCCTCACTTGGTTGCTTTCAAATGAATTACTACTATGTAATGGACAAAAAAAATAAAAAAGCTGCTTTTGCTGACTTTGTTGTGACAAAAAAGTCTGTAAAAACGGAAATAAAAATCCTCTATAAAACATTCTGACGCCCTGAAATTGCTTTTTCTCTCTCGTAATGTTTCCAGGTGATCAACTGAGAAAGAAATTCATTTTTCCTGTTTGGGGGGAAAAAAAACACTGCATTTATTTGTCCGCTGACAGTTTGGCACCTTCCACAAGTGGAACCGCCGCTCAATCTGCGCGTTTCCAGCGCGATGCGAACCGATGCCGGCTGCGTCCTGACCGGCCCTCCGTGTTCTGGTGGCCTCGGGCCGCCTGATCGCTGTCTGCGAACCCGAGCCCCGTGATCTCTGTTGTCATGGCGATCTGCCGCGCCGAGCTGTTCCCGCTCGCTCCGCTGAATGAGAATCTGCTCTGACACAGAAAACGCGCAACCTGCAGCCGGAGGAGGAACTCTTATTCGACCTCCCGGCTCACCAGACGAGAGGTTTAGAAATGAACTGAATGTCTCCTTTTGACGCAGGTTGACGTTGTAAACGGGAAACGTCTCAGACGCCACGGCAGGCGAACAGGAATTGAAAGATGATTTCATGCTCGAGACTAGTGGTTCTCTACCTTTTTAAAAAAAAAAAAAAATCTCTCCAAACAATCCTCCAGCAACTTATTTAAACACGTTTTTATTTCATAATCTGATCAATAATTACGAGCGGGGATTTCCCAGAATGCCTCAGCCAACTGGGTACGTCGCATGTCGCAGGAACCCCGGATGGTCGGCGTGTAATTCCTCGTTGCACAGGTAAGACTTATAAGGCACTTATTCCTAATGATTCGTATCCTGTTGATAGACGCGTGCAGCACGAGGGGAAGATCTGCCTCGTGTCCCGTCGCCGCCCGTATGTGCCGAACACCGATGGTGTTATTGCATTGTGGGTAAACACCCGGGATGAAGAGACGCCACACGTGTGACGACTCATTGGCAATCCGTTTTCACTCGGCCCTTGAATTACGTTTTCGCCGGGCGTTCCCCCCCCCCCCCCCCGGGGGAGAGGGGGGCGGACGCTGCCTGGGATCATTAGTGAGGCGCCGCGTTTGCGTCGCGTGGGAAGGAAAAGGTCAGGAAAGGTCAGCGTAACGAGTCCAGTCGCGTAAACCGGACGGTGCTTCCCGCGCACGCACTAAATGAAAACGCTGCTTTTATTGAAACCCGAAATGAAACATTAGAAACAATCCGTGTTTTTTTAGGAGCCGATTGGTGAAATTCATCCCCTGGCGCAGCTTCAGCAGTCGGACCTAATTGATTGCCGAGCGTCTCGGCGGTGATTACCAGATGCTGTAATTAGCACATGTGCCCACATACGTGCACAGAGATGCAGGCGCATTCACAAACACACGCAAACCTTTTGTGTCTCCTCTGCTGCTGTTTTTCTTTAGGGGGGGGAGGGGGGTTGCCAAAGAGACTTTATCGCGGCTCTCGTGATCAAGCAGCTAAAAATGCTGCTTAATGAAGTAGCAAATCCAAACATTAGCATATTTAATATGGACTCATGATTGCCTTTTGGGTATTTCTCCATCTCCCCCACTCTCTTCAATCCATTATTGACTCCTTGTCTGTTGCGCCACTATAACTTATTCCCATGGTTTAGATCAGGAGTCACGTGTCTTGAGCTTAAACCAACCGTGAAATCAAGCATCAGATCCAAGGAGCAGAATCGCTGCATTGATGTGTTTGTAAATTCCAACCCACTGAATGAAAAGGTTTGGAATAATAAATTACCTCTAATATGAGAATATACGAAGAAACAATCACGCAAAAGTGGCTTAAGTGATTGAAATAGAATTTAAGATAATATTTTTGTTGCTCCTTGAACTTGCTACATAAGCTAATGCTAACTCTACGGCACTTCCTCTGCAAACCCCCTAAAAGGACGCCCTTTATGATAAAAGGTGCTTAGTGGGCTCGGTTTGGCTGAGAACCTCCACGTATACAAGCGCCCCCTCTTTGTCTTTAATCTGCACTATGAATATAAAACGGCAATAACGTGGTTGCCTTGGATGCATATTTATCCTTTTCTTTTATATGCCCCATAAGTGCCTCACTGTAACGCGATCATACACCGGGCCGATGGGTCCGTCGGGCTGGACGCAGTCGGCGGCAGAAGTCATTTAAAAGCCGGCGTTTGTGTCGTGAGAACCTCAAAACACACGCAGGAGCATGAATCTGTTTCGGGCTGTTTACTTCTCGGCCCCTCTTTGTTTGTGCTCCGAGCCGATGTGCGATGAGCCACATCCAAATGCCTCTCGATGCCTGAGCGCCAAATGTTCCCAGCCGAACAGCCATTTGCAGCGAAATCGATGCAGCCGCAACGCCATTAGGGACGTTTTAATTGGATGTAGAAGCAGATTCATTGTTACTTCATCGTCCGAAGACGCAGCGCCTGCGTTTGGAGTCGGTTTAAAAAGTGTACTGCAACTTTTCTGCAGAGAAACGGTAAAATAATTTTATTTTCTTTCTGACGGGGAAATTCTGTGCAAGCAACTAAAGCTTACTGTAATATGAATACAGCACAGAATGGTTGAGTAAACAAATAATCATTCAGGAACCTTCTTACGTGTCATAACTCATCCGGGGTCATCGCGTTGCAGGTAATCTTCATCCCATGTAGACCTTTGTGCTCCGTGTAATCAAGTCAAAGGACACACAACAATGTAGGAGGTTAATATTCCCATCAATAGGTCGATGCAATATTTCTCATGTAGAACAAACAGTACACTGAGTTAATCTTTCTCCCAGAGGAGGTTTGCACATTGGGCCCCAGCTTCAAACCACTCCTATGAAGGGTGAGGGGGTGGGGGGGGTAAAAGTTATCTATTACGAAAGGAAAAATGACGACTTTAAGGACTGTAGCACGAAGAACAAACTGCACAGAGGCTGAAAGTCACACTTCTGTCAGGTGAAAATATATAGATCAAACTAAAGCGGCCCAGTTAGGTGGGTGGGTGGGTGGGTGGGGGGGGGGTAAAGTGCTGTTCGATGGCAGGTGTGACAGTTTGGTGTAAATAGAAAGCTTAAAAATAGAAATATTGACTCCACAGTGTCTGTTGCGATTGTGTTGTTCTTTTACTTTCTGAGACACCAAGAACGCTAGAATACGGCCTTGCTCTCTCGGCGGCGAGCGAACCGACCCGACGAGTAACGTCTAGATGACCCCTCGCCATTAAGTTCCACTCTGGATTTAGAGCTCTTCTGTTTCTATATATATATATTCTTTACAGCCGCTGCAAACCTTCCCAGTAGCAAATCCTCTCGTAAGAGACAAAAGAAAAACGTTGCTCTCCGGTGCCCTGTGGGGAGCGGGGAGGCGTGGAACATCTGTGAAGATGCGCTTTTTCCTCTCATTATACGCTCAGGCGCCATTTTGTTAGAATGGTGGGAGAACCTGAGTTACTATTAGCCAAGGGGACTCGGAGGCGATGCATTACACGGGGGGCCGATGTCTCCACTTGTGTCCCCCCCCCCCACCCAGTGAGTGTCGGGATCGGGCATTAGCATCGTCCCTCTGCTTTAATTTTTAATTTTCCCACTTCTCGTGCAGACACTTGACAAAGTGTCTCAGGAGCAGACGCATAATGGGAAACTCAGCGCATTTTCTTCTTTGGGTTGAGGAATCAACATATTGACAACGCAGCGGGAGATTTATCCCACCAAAATTCCTTAAAGCTTTAAACCGTGACAAAAAAAAACGATTCTTCAGTGCTCACACACAGTAAGTGTGTTCTTTTTATTCATTTTATGCAGAAAACCACAGAGCGCAGTGACCCCCCCCCCCCCGGCAGTCTCAGAAAGGTTGTACATCACGGCATCGATCAAGTCATTTAACAGGCAGCGGAGTGTCGTTCGGTACGGTTACTCTCTTAACAAAGCTGCATCGTGTGTCCCAGCCGCGGCGTCAGCGGCACGCGGTCCTGGTGGGCCGCCCCCGAGGGGACTTCAAAGGGCGCAGGAGTCCGCCGACGCCTTCCTCTGATAGATCCCCCGATCGCTTGTGGGTTTTCTCCATCTGGACTCTTTTTAAAGTCGTCCAGGAGCGCGACGTGACGCGTATACGCGGAAGGACGTCGTCCGGAGTGGCAGCTGGAGGCCCATGAAGCGTTTTTTTAACGTCACGTCATGCCGAAGTATCTCCTGAGTCTGAAGGACTCGGGGGGGGGGCGGGGCTTTCTGGCTAGTGGACAGATAAGGAGGAATGGATGGAGCCGAGTTAAGAGTCAGAGAAGGGAAGGAACAAATAGTGCTGCAAGAAAATGGTAACAAATAATAACGTTGCGTTACCCCACAATGCATTTGCCTCAAGGAATATGTACTATAATTACAAAACTGATGTTCGATGCGTCGTGGTAAAGACGCCGTTGGGGATCCTTGATTGTAATTAGAGCGGCCGTGATTATTGTGGCATTTCCATTCAAACGGAGCGGATTTCACGGCTAAACCGCCGTCACCCGAACGCTGCATTGCACGGAGACAAAAATAGTTTTCACATTAGTCATGCGCTCAAATTCCCAACCTGAATGCGTCATGTGACTCAAACATGCAGACAGGTTCGGCCTGTTTTTCTGTTGCAGGAGGGAAGTGTGTCATCCTCAATGTTTGCCGTGTTGTAGTTTTGGAACGATGAAACTCCCAAAATGACTTTTCATGTTATAACTTCCACGTTTCTTTCACATGTTGAGGGCCAAATGGTTTCAGTTTAGGATCCTGAATTAAAGGACTGTGTTTCCCTGCAACAGCAAACAGGTAAATATTGTAAGCGTGAGATGCTTTTACGCTTCTTAATAAAGCAAGTTGCTTCAAATCTCCTGTTGAGGCGCCACCAACTGCAAACACTAATTGCGCCTTTTGTTCTCTTGGAGTTAAGCTTTTCCCCCTGGGGGGTTAATTCAATAACAATCTTCCGAGGGGAACAGATAATGTGCCATCCATTAACCTTTTCGGTACCTCGGTTCCTCAACACGCACACACACGTTATGAATATCAACGCTGCGTCCTCACCGCTTGCTGTGCAGCGTCGCGCTGCAACGCGTG